CGGTTCGGCAATCTGAACGAGAATAGTCTAAAGCAGTTGGTTCAGTATGGCATGGTATCGGGAATGAACATTACCATAGCGAGTGACAATCGGGACATGATTGTATGCGATTTGTGCGTCGTTAGTAAGTAGAAGAGAAAACCGTTATCTGCGTCCGCTGGTAACCGGTCGTCGCGTGTACTTGAACTCATACATACGGACGTGTACGGTCCTGTTACGCCAATAGGGCTGTCGGGAGTGAAATACTTTGTCACTTTTACGGACGATTGGAGCCACTTCACTGTGGTTTATTTAATGCGGTCGAAAGAACAGGTGGTGGACAATTTGAATAGTACGAGGCCTGGGTTACCGCGAAGTTCGGTCCGAAGATTTATCGTCTAAGGTGTGACAACGGTGGAGAGTATTAAAACAAGCGGTTCCTGAATGTTTACCGAGGCAAAGGAATTCAAGTCGAGTGGACCGTTCCGTACACGCCACAACAGAATGGCGTGAGCGAGCGGTTGAACCGGACGCTCGTCGAGAAAGTCCGGGCGATGTTGGAGGATTCAGGTGTCGAAAAGAGGTTCTGGGGGCAAGCTGTGTTGACAGCGGCCTACCTCACTAACAGAAGCCCCACTAGTGCGCTGAGCATGAGCCCCATTCGAGCGGTGGAAGTCCTGAAAACCGGATGCATCCAAGGTAAGAGTTTTCGGTAGCAAGGTTTTCGTTCATGTTCCGGATGAACTGCGACGGAAGCTAGACGCGGAAGCCTGGAGAGTGGTTATTATTGTAAACCAAATACAGCCAGAATGGGTACCGAGTTTGGAATCTCGTGAAGAAGCAGATTGTAGTTGCGCGTGATGTCGATTTTGTTGAAGGCAACCTGGTGGAGTTTATCCGCGTTTCTGCAGGCGGTGATGAAGATGACGAAGTCAGCGAACCCGGAAAAGGGTACATCCGACGGAAATTTCGAATGTTTCGAGGAAGAGGAAGAGTTTGAGGAACAAGTTACCGAGTCTGAGCCAGAGGAAGCTGAGAGCGAGCCACATGGTAGACCTCAGCGGAACCGGTGTGCCCCTGCGTGGCATCCGGATTTCGAAATGGAGTACGCAAGTTTTGCGTTGAGCTCGGTCAACTACGTTGATCAAATTCCAGGGACAATCGCTGAGCTGCAGGAGCGTGATGACTGGAAGCATTGGAAAGCTGCAATAGAAGACGAGCTGAATTCGTTGAAGCGTAACAACACCTGGACGCTTGTTGAGAAACCGCAAGGACGTTCGGTGATCTCGGGCAAGTGGGTATTTCGTGTAAATCACGGTGAATCTGGCGGATGCATGAAGTACAAAGCAAGACTGGTCGCTAGAGGTTTTAGCCAAAACCGAGGTTTTAATTATGGTGATACTCTCCTGTGGCGAAGATGGATATTTTGCGAACGGTTCTGGCGTTGGCGAACCAAAGCGGAATGCACATCCATCCGAACGCGTTTTTGAACGGCGAGCTTAAGGTGGAAATTTTCAACCAGACGGGTTTGAGCAGGCGAGTGGACTTGTTTGTCGGCTGAACCGGGCGCTTTACGGCCTGAAACAAGCGTCGCGGGCATGGAATGAGAAGTTTCATCGTTTCGGCGAGCAGTTGTCTTTCGTTCGCAGTGCCAACGATCAATGCCTCTACACATTTGGCTCTGGAAAGGAGCAAGTAATTCTAGTGCTATATGTCGACGATATCTTGATCGTGAGTCCCTCACTGAAGCTTCTACAGATGGTACAGAAAAAAATGTCGAAGCAGTTTGAAATGACGGATGCTGGTGAAGTCAAGCAGTTCTTAGGCATGATGATCGACAGGGACCGTGAAGCTGGTGTGCTGAAGATAAGTCAACGGAACTATATGGAGGGTTTACTAAAGCGTTTCGGGATGAAGGAATGCAAGCCATGGTCGACGCCGATTGAACATCGCTTGAAGTTGAGTAAGGGAGACGAGAGACAGAAGACAGTCAATCCGTATCGGGAGCTGGTTGGCTGTTTGATTTATGCTTCACTCACTACTAGACTGGATCTGTCGGCGGCTATCAACTATTTCAGCCAATTCCAATCGTGTCCCAACGATGAGCACTGGAACTATTTGAAGCAAATATTGCGGTACGTCCAAGGAACGCTGGATGTTGAATTGGTTTACCGGAGGCAGCCAAACGTACAGTTATCGGAAGTATTCTCCGATGCAGATTGGGCTAACAATAACCTAGACCGGCGATCTGTAACAGGATGTGTTTGTAAGGTGTACGAATGCACCGTGAGCTGGATCACGCGCAAACGGTTGCCTTATCGTCCACCGAAGCAGAATTGGCAGCGTTATGTACAGCCACGTGTCAGGTCGTATGGATGAAGAGAATACTTGGAGATCTTGGATGTTCAATCGAAAGTTCCATACATGTTTTCGAGGACAATCAGTCCACCATTCGCATCGCTGAGGACTCAAAGGACTACGGTCGACTCAAGTGCATTCTTCGGACCAAGAAGCGGACATCATGACGAAGAGTCTACCGGTCACCGTCTTCAGAGGTCTCCTCACCATGTTTGGACTGGAGACTACCGTGGTTAAGCAGGGGTGTTAAGTGTGTAACCACAGTACCCTAATTGCCCCTATTTTTGATACGCCCGTGTGAGTATTTATACTGCGTCAATCAAGAAATGTAAACAAAAAGTAAAAACACGTTTTCAATAAAAGTTCAATTCGTTTTTCCTTAATTCGCTAGTTTTCTTGGTTTATTTCCTCCTGGTTTATCCGAAACCACTTCAGGTTATGGGCCCAGTCGTGCTTTAACGGAATAGTCTCGGAAGTGCAGTGTTTTTTTTTTCGTTATGCAGGAGGAAAAATTCGATCGTGTTTTTTGTTGCCGCTTTTCGATTGCTTGAACTTCGCTGCCTGGAAGTTCATGATGGATTCTTCTGGAAGAGCACGAGCTCGTGGAATGCATCCAGACGTATGCAGCGGAAGTTGAGGAGCTGATTGTCCTAGTTTATCCGAAACCACTTCAAATAGAACTGCCTTAAAGTTCTTTCGAAGTTTTCGTACATTTCCCTGATGATCACGCAACTTTCTTCAAAATCTCCCTGAACTTCTCTGAACTTCCCTAAAGTTCCCTCAATTTTCCTGGGGATCATGGATCTTCTCTGTAGTCTCTGAAATTTTTCTGAAATTCTAAGAAGTTCCTGAAGCTTTAAAAATTTCTCGAAACTTCTTCTTATTGTTTGTCTTCTTCTTTTCCTTTATTTAACGTCGATTGCCATCCATTGACGGCAATCTAATGTGTAGGAAGGCAGCTTCCACACCTGCGTAGGATATCGCACCCATTCAACACACATGGGCCGGGACCAACGGCTTTACTTCCCTTCCGAAGGAAGACGTGACCAGAGATTTTTATGCCTCAGAAAAATCCCACCGACCTCGACTGGGATTGAACCCAGACCCATTGGGGTGTTAGAAAGCAGTCACGCTTACCTCTACACCACCGGCGCCGGCTTATTGTTTGTAATTTTCCTGAAGCTACTGGAACTCTCTAGGGTTTCCTGATCTTCTCTGAAGTACTCGAAAGTTCTCTAAAATTCTTCCGATTCTCCTGAAGCTCTTGTTACTGCCTTGAATGCAATAGAACTATCCAAAGAATCCCTATTCAGAAATTTCAGGAAACATCTGGGAGCCTCAGGGAAGCTTGGGAACTTCAGGGAAGTCTGTAATCTCCAGAAATTGTACTATATCGAAGAAAGTCTGCGATCTTCATGGAAATTGGCGATTCTATGGGAAGTCCGCGAATCTTTGGGAAATTCTGTGAACTTCAAAAGTATTCTGCCAAATGCCAGTGAAGTCGGTCACCTTCAGGAAAATTCGGCAAACTTCAGAACTTCTGGAAAGTTTTAAAAATTTCATGAACTCTTGGAAAATTCTACATATTTCTGGAAAGTTCAGCAAAATTTTTGGGAAATTCGGCAAACTTTACGAAAATTCTGCATATTTCAGGAAAAATCAGGGAACTTCAGGGAAGTTTGTGGCATTCAAGTTTACCTAATCCAAGAAAGTATGCGAATTTGTAGAAAATTCTGTGAATTATAAAAATATTCCGCCAACTTCAGTAAAGGCGACGAACCTTATGGAAATTCTGAGAACTTCAGTGAAGTCTGCTTCCACAAAAAAAATTCTGCGAACTTAAGCAGATTTCTGCAAGTAACAGGAAAGTCTGCGAACTTGAAAAAAAATCTTTAAAATAATACCGGATCAACCTTTAAAAAAAATCTACTTCAGCAAACAGACTTTTTTTTTCCTTTATTATAGAGATTTTTAGCCATAGGCTAGTTCATCTCTTAAGCAAACAGACTGATTACCGGAATGTATCGAAATTATCGAGAAATGTAGAGTATTCATGGGGTATTCATTCGTTTCTATCAAAATGAGTAAGGTTTACTCAGTTGCCAAATGTCATCATCTTAGTAACCGTTAGCCAGCTTCCTCCTTAGGCACGTTTACTCAAATTTGAGTAAAAGCATCTGGGTAAATTCCCTTTTGGCTGGACTGAGTGATTTTCGACTCAAAAATGAGTAGCTTGAAAATAGCGTGCAGACGTCATTTTGATTGGAAGTGTCGTTTTCGAGTTATGATTTGTTTGATAATATCGAATACGCCATTTTGATGGTCGCATGGCCAAAATGGTCGAATTGTAGTTAAAATGTGAATGATCGATTGAACTGCTCAATCAATGGTAGTTTCGAGGACGGATATTTGCAGTGAAGGTCCACACGGAAGCGTAACGGCAGCGGCAAGGTTTGACAGTTGTCACAAATGACGTCAAGATGTCCAACCGAATTACTTTTAACTAGTTTTAACTAGTTTTAACTAGTTTCTTAACTTACTAGCTACCGCTGCCGTTCCGCTTCCGCTATCATTCCGTTCGGGCCTTGTGTGCTGTTCAACGGATCCCTCATAAGCGCCGATCTGTCAAGGAACTTCCCCACCCAATTTCATCGCCCACTCACCTGATGTCGATCTCCATTCCCCGGATGTCGGCGCAGTACGTCCCGAGCGCCGCAATCTGTTCCTCGTTCATGCCGGCCATGGTAAGGCCCAGCCACCGCAGCTGCGGTAGCGAAGCGAGCAGGGCATGCATAAACTGCGACTCGATCCGTTGCTTCTTCGGCCGGTCCAGCACGATGATCCCGTCAACCTTGACGTGGCTCATCGGGCTGGATTTGAACAGTTTGGAAACGGCCTTCAGCGTCCGATTCACATCGTCCAGGTGCACGATCCAGTTGCAGATTTTCAGGGTGTTGAGCGAACTGTGGGAAAATCATGTTCAAATGGGATCTTAACGATTGAAGAAACGGTATTTTTACAGACCTAAAGTGAGCGTTGAGCGTGGAGAAGAAACCGATAATATCCTTATCGGACAGAATCGACGGGTTGGACGTGTTGCTGCCGAGACCGGTGCGCGCAGGCCCCGACAGATCCAGCTCCCGTAGATTCACGAAACCGGTCAGATAGGGTAACATGTGGGGTCCCTTCAGCGAGACGTGATCGGAGAAGATAATCTGTGAATAACAAAACCATTGCAAACTACTCACAATCAGACTATGCCATAGCAATTACCTGAGCCCCCGCCATCTTGAGGTTCACGACCGAGCGGCACTCGTACGCACTGCTCGGCATCTGGACGTCGCTCTTAAACATCGATATATTGAGCCGACAGTTGTTGAGGCCGAGCTCGCGGATCGAGGTCAGCGACAGGAAGCCCCGTACCGATGCGAGCGTACTGACGTTCTCTATCCTGAAACTCCAGCCATCTAAGCTAAGCAGTCGTAGCGTGATGCAACTACCCAAGGCACGTGCTGACATTCCGACGGCGGCATCCTCCAGGGCGATTCGGGGCGATCCAAGGCTGAGCATCTGCAGGCTAGGTGACTCGCTGGCACCCAGCACCGTGGGCAGGATCTCGCTGAGGCGAGAGGCGCCTTCCAGTTTGATCGAATGGAGATTAGTGGATACACGAACCGTTTCCCCCAGGCACATGGAGTCCTCGAGCGAAAGTTGAGCTTTGCTGAGGTCCAGCCCATGGAGTCGGGAGTAGGAGTCCCGTGCCGCCAGAAGCAGTTCGTGAAGTGTACCGGAGTTGTGAGGACCGCCGTCGCAAGCTGGAGTAGGATACCAAGTTCGGGAGATGACCGAGTCCGTGCTTCGTTTATCCGGTGGTCCTTCCATGGGTTGACGTGGTAGTGTGGCTGAGCGGCCCATGTTTGAGGTGGAGTTCAGTACTCCTCGGGGCAGTGATGAGAAGATTCCGGTTGGATAGGATCGAGGCGATGGCGCTCCGGTTAGAGAAGATTGTTTGATAAGGCCGGAGTTTCCGGAGCTGCTACCGGAACCGGAACCCATGCTGACGCCACTAGAGGACGGTGGATCGTCGCGAGCTCCCCAACTGGAGGCTAGTGCTAGATAGGACAGAGGCCGGGCATTCAGGAGACTGGCCAGAGCGCCTACGGCTCCACGTTCGCAACGGAGATGCGGGAAGGACAGTCTTGTGACGTGAGGGCATTTCTCGAGCATTGAGCAGATTTGAACCAGTTGCGAAGTGCAAAGACCTAGATCGAGGATCAAGTTGCTGAGTTTCGGTTGTCGAGGGATCGCTCTGCAAAGACCCGTCACTACGGACTGCAGCTTCAGTATGGGAGGATCTTCTTCCAGCAGTGTCAGAATAACTTCGAAGCTCTCCAGTCTTGGTTTCAGTACGGTTTTGGATATGCATGTCGCTAGGTAGTTGATGTCCGAGTCTCGAACTTCGTTTTCGATCAGCGAAGTTATTCGAAGTGTTGTGACACTTTCGTTCTTGGACAGCGCATCGAGGAAGATGTCCATGACGTTCCGTGACTCGAGGAGCATGTTCTTCTCGATCTGGTAGACTAGTTCCAGGTTTTTGAGCGTGCAGGTTGGACTCTTGAGTGCCAGACCCCAACCTTGCAGTTCAGAGGCTGTGGATTTGATTTGCACCCAGATGGGTTTCGCCTCTAGTGGAGGTATCGGAGGGGACTTGGATATTCCAAGGATTTCGCAAAGGGCAGTGAGGTTGGACTCGGTTTCACCGCCGGCCACGGCTAGGGAGAATATGGTTTGTGGGCTTAACCAGAGCGGAGTAAGTTTGGAGAGCAATAGGTGAGCTCGCGAGCCGAGGAGAGACATGGCATAGGTTAGCACTTTGAGGATTTCCGGTTCGACTTCGTCGCCGATGGCTAGACCGGCAACTTCAGCGGCGAGCAGGCCCGGTCGACTAGCTAGCGATACGATGTAGTTGGCCGCAAGGAATTCAGCAATCCCTGGACAAATGGTGGTATAATTGAATTCGGATTTTCTCCGCGCTGTTCGCCCGAAGACCGGTGCCTTGTCCAAGCATCCGATGATGTTGGTTTCCGGAGACGAACAGTACATTTTAAGCTCAGCTGAACTGACCGTCGATCGCTTGGTCTTCAGGCAGAAAAGAGCCAACCTGCCGAGCTCGGTGACTTGCGTGTGCGAAGAGTTGGTAGCTACGCAGTTGAATACGGAAGCGATAACGTCAATTTCGTCCGTAGGTAGATCGCCTGCATTGGCCGCGTAGATCGCCGAGATGGCTAGACAGCCCAACGAAGTCCTCGCTATGTTCCGTAGATGTCTACAGTCTTGAACACAATCGATTAGTCTCGTAGGAGCACCCCATTGACCGCCGCCTAGCAAGGAAACCGATCGACCCCAGGTGATTCCTTCGAAGGTGACGTGACGCTGCATCAATGGCAACAGCTCTGCGCAGGACGACGTCACGCTGATCAGTATGACCCTAGCCTCGGGGAACAGTCTTCCCTCTAGCAAATCCGTCACGTCCTTCTGGACGGATTTGTTCTGCCTGGATTTACTCTGCACATCGTAGCCGTCCAGTACGACCAGCAGTTTGCTCTTCAACGACTCCAGCGAGTTCCACGCGGCATTGAAACCCCCAAATCCGGATGCAAACGGATTCTGCGTACCCCGAGGTAATAGTTCTTTCGCTACATAACTGGCTAACGATCCCTTGATTTCGTTTAACGGTATAAAAAGTGCTAACGCTACGGGTTGACCTCGCGGAGGCCATGGCGGTTCCCGGCTCCAGCCGTGCAGTATCCGGAGGGCCAGTGCGCTACGCGTAACCCACGGAGGGCACTCGATCAGTACCCGCCGGGGCGCTTCCAGGAAGGGTCCATCCTTGGTCTGAACGGCGGCCAGGATCTGATCGACCGAGATGCACTCGTTCAGACCGTGCGAATGGATGTGCAGTCTTAGTTCTGGCTCCAGCCGGGCTGGACAGAGCAGCCCCGGCGCGACCGGCTGGACCCACGTCGGCAGGACCGGCTCCTTGAGGGCTAGCTCGGTGTAGAGATTCCGGAGGCATCGGGCCAGGCGGGCCTGCGGGTCCCGCCGGTTGTTGTCGGTCAGGCATGCCGGCGGACCGGGTGGCGATGGACACTCGAGCGATACGTACGATCCGGACAGTTCGTACTCGGTCCGGTACGAGGTTGGTGTTGTGATCTGGTGGTGGTGGGGGTGCTGCTGCTGTTGTTGTTGTTGTTGTTGTTGTTGTTGTTGTTGTTGTTGGTTCGTCTTGGTGGGATAGCACTGCAGAGGGGGAGAAAGAGAATGAAGAGAAGGATAATTATTCAAGCTTCGCAGTTTTGTATTGGCAACTGACATTTCAATGTCAATGGATTCAGTAAATAAGTAATCCCTAGAATGTCTAGGATCCTGAAATTGGTTTGATTTTGTGTTGGAAATTCAATGTTTAGTGTTCTGGAACAATCTGGTGTTTAGCAGCGAGTCATTTCCAGTGATGCCACATCTACAGATTTTTCTGGCATGGTGCAGATTTTTAGACAATTTTCGATACAGAAATCTGTATTACAGATTACAGATATTTTTTTGAAAAAAGTAAGAGGTTGTATCCAAGACACGACCGTAGATTTGACGTAGGATTACGTGCTCGGAATCAATATTTGGCGACTATGTTAGGGAAACCACTCTTTATGCAGGCAATCGGTGATAATTTTGATAAACATTTCAACAGTTGGACATTTGTGTAATTTTCATTAGTGACATATTGAAAATTGATAAAGTATTGATTTGAGCAGCTTCGTAGAAACATTAACAATCGATTGGCTTGTTAAGAATTAAAATCCATCCGCCATTGACAGTTATAAGTGGTCATAACCTGACTACTTTTCGTAACGCGGTCGATTTTGGTTTTTTTTTAAATTGAACCCCCAATATGTTGCCGAAAGACGTAATCCTACGTCAAAAATCTTCAGATTAATTTCGATTTTTGATGCTGACAATCAAGGGGTTGGTCAGAAGAGTGCAGTAGGCTCTGCCCGCGAACGGTTTGTTTTGTTTTCGCTGGCGCTGATTTCATCTGTTTTCCGCATATTTTAGAATTGTACCAAGTCAAAAAATATTAGTTTTCGCGTGTGGATAAGCGTAAATTAAAATCTATTACGTTTTAATGAGCTTTAAGTGATATTGTAATTAACGTGAATACTGGGACAATAATTTGTTTCGAGAAACTGTGTTGCTGTGGTGTCGGTTTTTGCCTCCCTCCCAAGAAAAGTTTTACCGGGGATTTTTTTTTCCTCTCTTGGTGCTGGCGTTCTGCCTTCTGGAGGATGCACGCGAATGAGGTGTTAGGCAGGAATTCGGTGCAAATGGAAAACTTCGCATGTGATTCAAAATGTTGTGTTAGGTTGAAAAAATAACGCGGAAGATTTTTTTGATTACCGCGAGTGAACAAACCGGTGTTTTTTTTCGGAGGCAGAATTTGGTGAGATCCATCTAATTATAAATCAATCATAAATGCATATTTCCATATATTACTAAATACGCGCCAGATTTTGAAACATCACATTTCGAAATCTGGAAGTGTTCTTGCAGTACCATTATTCATATGATAACGGTAGTGTTTACATGCCCTACCCTTGGCTAGTTTTTGCAACTTGCTGTTGGTTGGCGGGCTTAATTTCATGCTTTATAGTGGAGTGTTGGAGACGGTGGGTTTATGGTCGGCGTTGCTGGCTCACGCCGCGATAGAATGGCGTCATAGGCAGGCAATGAGGATTACTAAGCTCCCCCTCTCTGATAAACCACTGCATGAGGGAACCAAAGATCTAGTCTAGCAGTGATAGTATCACACTTGTTACTCCTTTTATTGAGAGCCGCGTCATAGTACGCTTACGTATAGGCACTGACGTTGGGTGTGATACTGGCGGGTTTTGCCGCAAATCACTCTTATTTTATTTATTTTTACGCAGATAGATTCATTTGGGTTTGTAAGGGAATTATACTATTGAAATATTTCAGAAAGTGCCCAACAGTGCTCCTTCTATTTGCGTGACAAGCTTTCATTGTTGTTTTCATTGTGGTATTACTCAGGGAACAATGTTAAAAACCATTTTGGTACATGGTATTGTAACTAATTTTATATGTGCTTCATTTTGATTTGGGATAAGTGTTTGAACTATGGCTCGGGATTTCCACTGTGGTGTGCTTCTATTGTGACATACCCATATGTATTTTTGTGGTGCGACATAGTGGAAACGTGAGAGCGTAATTGGAACATATACCCTATATAATTTAAAAATCAGCTAGGAAACTAACTTCAAAATGAAGCATTTTAGTCACATGAGGGTGTTACCTGGGTCGAACTAAGATTAATAAATAGGTATAGGCTTAAATCAAAAGTACTTGAAACACGTTTAATTTTAGATTACAAGCACAAGTGCAGGTACTTAATAAAGCATGGGTTATGATTGATTAGGTGAATTAGAGCTTTTAATAATTTATTAAATTAGACTAATGAGATATCATAATCATCAAATGAACTTAAATAAGAGACTTCAGAAAGTCTTATGACATTAAGTAGATTAACAAAAGAATTAGGATGCGGGGGGTCCGCTTAGGGAGGTAACTAACCTTTAAAGTTGTAGAATAAATCTTCTTATCTAGTCTTTAACTTGAAAACGCAGGCAGACCAATAGCATTAAGCAGATTGACAAGGAGAGGAATAGTTTAGGAAATAAGTAAAAGTAGAGGTATGTGACAATTAATACCTTTTAAACTTTTGGAGGTATTGTATTCCCCTGAGTTTGTTGTACTCTATTACTATATTATTCTCTCAAAACGCGAAATCTCTAGTATATACACTCCCGGAAATAAATATAAAGACACATAAAAAAGCATGGCGCCTACCAAATATAAGAATCAGAGGAATTCTAAACCATGTATTTTTGGAAGCCACATTATCATGCTACAATATCACCCATAGAAATGACCAATTGCATCATGTACGCAGGGGAAATAAATGGAAATGTGATTTTCTCCTTCGGAAATAAATATAAGGACGCCATACAAAAATGTATGGGAAATTGGTCATTTTCGAAACATTACTAAGCATGTCAACAATTCTTGTAGCACCAAAATAACCAAAGAGTTAGTTAAAGTAATAATTAAACTTAATTTCTGAAACGTTTTAAGCAGATCCAATCGAAGTTATCGAAAATTACAAAAAATCATTGGTTGATCAGCGATGATTAATTAGGTGATACATACATTTAGGCGTTTTCCGAGTTAGAATGTGTCTTCCATAATGCCAGTAGGGGTTAGATTGAACACACACACACACACACACACACACACACACACACACACACACACACACACACACACACACACACACACACACACACACACACACACACACACACACACACACACACACACACATACACACACACACACACACACACACACAGGGCTACAAATGGTGAGTTGACAACCTAGCTCTGGTTCTCACAAGTTCCTACCTCACGCCTCCCCGTGGTGTAGCCTGGGCAATGTTGTCCTTCTGACAATAGCAAAGTGAGGGGGTGCGACGCGAACACTGGCGCGGTAACCATAACACGGCGATAGAGGAAATGCTTCGTCAACCCGCAGGAGTGCCAACCGGCACATTAGGATCGACGCCAGTAAGATCCTTATTACGGCATACTGGATACGGCATGGAACTATGGACACGACACGGCACAATGGATTGGATACCACGCTACAGGGCTGACAGTCGTGCTATTCTGCTCCCTAAGTAAAGAAGGGTGACACCTTCTTGAAATGGCGAGTGGGCTAATAGTGCGGCTGCCCCCGTCCCGGTAAAACCTTGGCAGGCCTCCGGATACGTTCAAAACTCGTCACCAATTGGTGATTGGTGAGTAGTAGGCTCAGATGTAACATTCCTGACTTACGCCGATCTGGCTCTGAACACGGCCCCCATGAAGGACCGTGTCAACCCTAGCATGGCCTCCCTGCTTGCATAGATAACCATGGGATCACGATAGGAGACTACATACAACGAGTGGAGATAGCGGCCCGAAGGGGGGACCCATCAGAATGGATAAAATTGGAGAAAAAAACAAAAATGAAGAAAAAGAAAATACCAAAAAAAATATGAAGAACGACGGCAAGACGCCAGACAGTGAAAACGGAGGAGCAAACGTGTTCGCAAGGAGTGGGATATTACAGAGATCACCAGTGTCGAACCTGGGGGTCACTGCGAGTTCCAGCAGCAGCAGTAAGTTTCAAGAAGAGCAGCCAGGCGTTGGGCTAAGCCAGATATTCACACCAATATCCAGTAGTAGCAAATCCCAAGAACTGCAGCTCGGGAGAACCAAAATGACGGAGGTCAGGAGGAAGATCGATGATCTCTATGTGTTCGTGAAGGATAAAAACAACGTACACAAAGAGATCAAGCAACTTGTGACCGGTATCAAATCCGGCATAACAGTGGCAGATCGGGAATGTCAAGAGTGGAGAAAAAGGGCCGAAAATGCCGAAAAGGCTCTGCTGGAGGCCAAGGAGAGCATAAGACTGGCTCAAGCACATGAGACTCCGAAGGGACCCACAAATCCACGTCCTGAAAAGAGAGATAGGGACACGCCAGGAGATGAGGAGGAGCCCAAAAAACGCAGGGACGACGAGGAAGGCATCAAGGAGATGGGAGAAAATGGTGCGTGGCGTAAAGTCGAGAACCAGAAGGAGAGGAAGAAAAAACAGAAGGAAGATGAAGTGAGGAAGAAGGAAGAGGAAGCGAGGAGGAAGGAAGAAGAAGCGAGGAAGAAGGAAGAGAAGAAGAAGGAAGACAGGAAGAATAAGGAGAAGCCTAGGCCTCGTAGGGAGAGAAGCAAGGGTGACGCTCTGGTTGTTGAGGCGAAGGACAAAACGTCCTACGCAGCACTCCTCCGGAAAGTGAGAGAGGATCCGGAGTTGAAACAACTAGGCGAGAATGTGGTGAAAACCAGGCGAACCCAGAAAGGCGAGATGCTATTCGAGCTGAAAAGGGACCCTACGGTTAAGAGCTCAGCTTTTAAGGAGCTCGTCGAAAAATCTCTTGGCGAGACGGCGAACGTAAGAGCCTTATCCCAGGAGTCAGTGGTCGAGTGCAGGGATCTGGACGAGATCACAACAGAAGACGAGTTGAAAAGTGCGCTAAAGGTGCAATGCAACCTGGGAGACGTACCGATGGCAATTCGGTTGAGAAAGGCGTATGGTGGCACGCAGACGGCGTCGATACGACTTTCTTC